AGAGCCAGAGTAGAGCCTTACCCCTTCACGCTTCACTTCCAGCGCCCAGCACGTTCGAAGCGCCCAACAGACGCTTCTGCAGACAGGCTGAAGGAAGGGCTCCGTGACGCAGGAAACAGACTGAGGCCACCAACACGCAGGCGCCTGAGCAGCGGTTTTCCCCGGTGAAGGGGTGGGGTGACCGTGGGAGAGGACGCAGGGCGGGGTGCACGCGGGGCTCCTTTCCCGCACCATTTCCCTGAACAGCAGTTAAACAGTGGAGAGCCGGGACGCTCATTGCTTGAAAGTGGCTGCCTCGGAGAGAAGGCACAGAAATGTTCTTACCTTTCACTTTAAAATGCAAGCTCAACAAAACACTGCGGCCTCGAGCAACGGGGGAGAAGGGCACGCAATTTCCCTGCAGCTGTGCTTGGCCATAACCCTCCAGCCGTGGCGGGCACAGGCCGTGTCTCTGCGGCAGGCGCGGGGGTGCAGGGTGGCCGAGACCAGCTGCCAAGAGGCCGCCGGCGGGCAGAGGTGGGAGCTGGGACCACGGCCCCCTGGCTCCAGGCGCGTGGAAGCTCCCTGACTGTAAGTCAGCTCAGGGAAGCGGGGCTCAGCGATTCCCTCCTCTGCTCCCGGCTTCCAACTGGACCCGCTAAGCGTGGCACTAATCGAAGGAATAATTTTCCTTAATTGCGTGAAGCCACCCCGAGAGCTGACTTCGCACAACTGTTCTCCATTACCAGCCTGGTTCCCAGCCAAGGGGGGAGGAGCCGCAGCGGCGGGCTGGGCGGCGGGGCTGAATTTCACCTGAGCGGCGGTCGGCGGCGTGGGCCACAGGCCGGGTCCAGCCTCCCACCTCCCGTGCGTGGCCCAGCAGCTAGGGGAGGGCTTCATACTCTGCAGTGGTTGAAAAGCGATCCAAGAAGGAGAAGGGACACTAGGTTACGCCATCGCAGTATGTGAATTCCGGATCTCACTGGCTCTTGCTCGTGCGTCCGTCTCTGGGGCCTTCACCCCACGACGGCAGAGTCGCCCACAGAGGCTGTGGGCCGCCAAGCCCCGATATTCCCTCACCCGTATAGGAAGTCTGACTCCCCGACGACGTCGGGCTGGCTGGCCTGAGGTCACGGACAAGGGCGCCCGCGGTCCTGAGGCGCTCACAGAAACACTGCCTGCCCTTGGCTCGCCAGGTCGCCAGGTGGGAGCCGCGGAAGGTGTAGCTGTGTCAGGCTGGAAGAAATTGCCTGAGCCGCTGGAGGTCTCAAATTCTGTCCACTGTGATTTTCTCAAGATCCAAATGGCGCTTCATACCCCCTGACCTCCTACTGGGGGTCCCCAAGGTTGCCTGCAGGCCAGGTGGCCGTCAAGCTTTCATGCAGGCCACCGCCCTCGAAGAGTGTGCCCCCGACTGAGGGGTGATGGGCTGCAGAGAATACCCCGCGAAGCTGTGGTTTCCCGACAGCAACCCATAGTGCCAAGAGACCAGCTGCAGGTGGGGCAGGTCCAGGGTGGACTGGAGCGAACGAAAAGGATCTTGGAGCCCTCGGTGCGTCTGACTTGCCTTTAACGCTGCAGCAGGGGCCAGATACACAAGAGAGCAGCGGGCAGGGGCCAGGGAGGCAGGCGGCACCCTCTTCCCCCCTCCCCCCCACAATCCCCGCGTTGGGGCCCAGGTGTCCAATGACGTATGCGCAGGCCCCTCGCTCCCTGGCTTCCGGGCTGCGTGTCCATAGTTACAGGTGTGCGAGCCCGAAGCTCGCGCGCCCAAGTGCTTTTTGCAGTGATGTGGGCAAACACACAATCACGAGGAAAACAAGGCTGCAGGAGGCAGTCTAGAGGCCAGAGGCAGGAAAGCAAACAAGAGCTCGGGCCGCTCATTTTCCTGCCGGGGTTCTACTGCGCACTCCCTGCCGCACCCCTCTGCCCTTTCTGAAGGCCGTGCCCGCTCCGGCCAGCCCTGTCGTACACAGCCAGGCAGAGCGGCCTTCTCCGCGAGGGCGCCGCCTGGGCGCAGCCGTGTCTGCCGAGACGGGGAGAGGAGCCGCCACTGTCCGGGCAGGTCTGAGAGACCAGCAAGAACCAGGCAGGGGACGCGGCTTCCCCCAGCCCCCCTTCCCCAAGTTCAAGAAACAACTGGACGGTTTCGTGACCACCCCGGTTTAAAAAAGAACTCTGGAGCCCTGGGGTCGCCGTCACAAGCCAGCGGGCGGCGGCAGCTGGGCTCCACACGCTCCCTTCTCGGGCCTTCTCTGGTGGCCTCTTCCTCTTAGCCACACGGTTTCTGAGGGATGGGCCTGCGGCTCGGGGTGCGCACGCACACACCCATGCTCAGGTGTCACAGCCGGGCACACGCGCCCCACACCCCTGTCCTCTACGTTAACAGGGTCCAGGATGCAGCTCAGAGCCTGATGCTGTAAAAGCCTGACCGACCCTGACCCCGCCGAACCTATTCTGATGGCTTTCACTAGACACGGGCGCCTCCTTTTAGGACACAGCGGTGACACGCGACATCACTAAGTAAAGCAAGCCGCTGCGCTGGACTCCAGAACTCGCACAGCAGCGCAGGGCGAAGCCGAAGCAGCCAGCTGCTCCTCCACGGGTTCGCCCGCGGCCACGAAGGTGCACTGGGCCGTCGCACGCCCGGGGGCGTGAAACAAAGGAGCAGCACTTCCCAGAGCGGAACCTCCGAGGCCCAGGCGGGCACCCCGGGAGCGAGGACGCCAGGAGCTCGTAGCCCCAGCTTGAAGTCCAGGCGTCCACTCGGCCTCACGCCGCTGCCCACACAGAATTTCCCACGTGGGCTGAGCACACTTCGGGGCTGCGGGCAGGCGCCCTTGGCCAGCCGGCCCTGAAGTCAGGGTGCGTGGAGCATGGCTCTGCTTCAGGCAGCCGGCTGCGGGGGCCATCGGTCCCGGTAATGACGACCCCCACCGCCACCCACCCTTGGCGTGACGGGGGGCCCGACTGGCGTCCCCACTCATTCTGAGGGTCCTCAGTCAACCGGTTTCTTGGAAGTGGGAACTTCTGGCTCAGCAGAGCCATCCTGCCTTGTCGGGCACACAGCACGGCCTGGGGGCGGTCAACCGCACAGAGCCCTCTCACTGAGGCTGGGGAAGGTACATTATTTTTAGGACGGCCACAAGAACGTGGACATAGGGCGCTGAGGCAGACAAGGCGTCAGAGAGCAGCGCCAAGCAGCGGCCACCCCCGAAGGCCGAGGACGCTGGACTCTTGTGAGGCAGCAGAGAAGCCGGCCCACAGGGCCTCTGAAGGGGGTGCTGCTGATTTATGACGCTCTGCCCGGGGTCCCCGGGAGATTGATGAGCTCCTCCTGGGCTCTGCTCCACACCCTGGTTTTTCTGGGGAACCAAGGGGTCAACTCCAAGAATGCAGACCCATTATTTTCAAATCTTAATTAACTGGAACCTAATTAGGACTTTCGAGGGTGTTTGTTTTCTCCCTTTGAAGAAAAACTTTTCTCTCAAGTCAGCATGGAGTAGAGGGAGGAGAAGCGAACAATGACCTACTTTCCTGGGTTTCTGGCAGAGAAGTCACGTGTGAGCCTTTGGGGGCATCAGTTTTCTAATTTACAGACTGAGACCGCCAGGGATTTAGAGAGCTGAAGTTATTTTCAGCGATCAAATTCAGATTCTAAGACATACCAACAAATTAGCATCACTGGAGGGGCTGTGAGCACCCCCGTGTCTGCCTACCCCCAAGAGCTGAGATCACGCCAGTGGCTAGTTCAGAGCAACGCACATACAACGCACAACAAGCTGAGGAGTGAGGCGCCCCGCCCAGCGTTGGCCCAGAACCCGCCCACGCGGAGCGCGGGGGGCTGTCACCTCTCTGCAGGCGACGAAGGGGAGGCGACCTTCAAGCAGAGTTTGAGCAGATTCAGCCTCATCAAGTTTCCACGACGTAGTTCTCACAGAAACAACAGCATCCGTGTTTATGCTCTTTCAATCCGTCTAATATTCAGTGAAAGCGCGCAAGCATGACCTCGCGGCCACAGCGCAGCCAGACTGGGAGCCGCCGCGTGGACGGGGCGTGCGCGGGGGACCCCCCGGTCGAGGACGGGCTGCGTTCAAGCAGCAGGAGCGGAGGCAGGTACGAAGTCGGGCAGCCAGGTGGACAGCGCCTCCGCGGGCCGGGCAGCGCTGCGAGAGGCCCGGTGGGCCCTGGGCAGGCAAGGGGGGAGGAGGAGGATGGCGCCAGGCGCCGGACGCCCCTGGGCAGGCTCCCGCCACCTGCTCCCGGCCCAGGGGGGCGGCGCGCCTACAGAGCAGCCCCCGGGCAGGTCTATCACGACACTGGCTGAAGTGAAGTCTGAGACCAGAGGTTCGAAAACAAGGCCTTCGAGGTGGCGTCGAGGTTCAGAGAAACGAGCGTTTGCGGGGCTGAGCTCTGCCCCGGCCTGGACGTCAGCCAACGTGCTGTCCGGCTCACTGTCCGGACACTCAGACACACCCCCAGGGCCCCGGCGGCCAGGCGAGGACACCAAGCTCCCTGGGGTCTGGCTGGGCCATCGGAGCGGCAGGAAGGCACGTGCAGTCTGGGGCACAGGCCAGGGACGAGGCCACGGCTCCTGGGTCTCCTGTTGTGTGTGGACGCGTGGGCAGCTCTGAGCGACAGCGCCTACGTCCCAGGTGCCCTCAAGACCCTCTACTGGTCAGCGAAGTGTCCGTTCAGAGGGCCCCACGAGGGTCTCCCTCCCGGCCTCGTGCTTACTACGGGTCAGCTGCCGCCTGAGTGTCCACACCCCCGCTCATCCCTCCACTCGGAAGAGCCGAGGTAGAGACCGAGGTGAAGGTCGAGCGCGCTGGGGCCTTTGGTGCTGGGGCCACCCTTGGCCTCGTCAGCGGCCTGTGCCCGCGGGGCCCACGGGGTGGGGGTGGGGTTTGCTCCCCGCCCAGAGAAGTCCACGCCAGCGGGAGAGGAAGGCGAGGCCCGCGGCTGCCAGGCCGGGTCTCGGCCACACGGGCCCTGCCGCGCTGCACGCGGGAGTCACTGACCTGGTCCAGACGCAGCGCGCCGCCCGCAAACCGCTGCCTGCGCAGCTCCTTGGCGATGGCGTGCAGGTTCAGCACAGCGCGGTGCACCTCCTCGCCGGTGTGCTCCGGCGAGAGGGGCGGCAGCTCCGTCGCCGGGATCTCCCCAGCCGGGCTCTCGATCATGCTCTGGGCGTGCTCGTAGCTCAGTTTGGTGCAGGAGCGGATGACAGTCCGGCCAAACCACTCGTCGAGGATCTGCACAGAAGGAAGAGGACGTGGGAGCCGTGAGCCCAGCTCTCGTCAGGTTTTTCTGTCACGCAGCCACATGTCAACAGCGGCAGACTGAGTACTGCGAAGGAAAGGGCGAGCTGGAGCATGGGGCAGGGACTACAGTCTGAGGTTCACACGGAGGGAAATACTGAAGGGCTGAGGGGTGGAGGGCTTAGGAGAAAAGCGGGAGCACGGATGGGGGGGAACTTGCACTCTGGGCTTGCAAACACCCCCCGCCCCTACCGCCACCCCCTCCCCAGCCAAACCAGTCTGCTGACAACCTCTGAGACAATGGCTCCCCCAAAAGGCCATCCCCACAGGCATTTCCAGTGGGGAGCTTTGCCCTGGGAGCCACAGAGCCTCACAGCCCACGAAGGAAGAACGGCTGCCACGGAAAGGGCAGCCCCGTGTGCTGGCCGCGGCGGGGAGCAGCCACTCGCCGGTTCCCCAGATGCAGCGCAACAACCTCGTCATAAAGGGCCTTGGGGCTGTCGCATCGGAACTGTCTCTAACTGTCCTTCTGGATTGTTCCACCACCACCCGCCCTCGGATGCGGGTGACGATCACGGGCTCGCGACTCGTCTGGGTGGAAGTGGCCCTGAGCGTGGCTCTCGGGAGGCGCCGGGGCGTGCAGAGCCCTGCAGTTCCTCGAGGCCGCAGTCCCGGCGGGCAGCGGCACCTGCGGTGTCCATCAGGGCACTCCGCTGGTCACCCTAGCACAGCTGCATTCCTGAAAGTTCCCCACTAACGAGCGGTTCAACCTCCTCTGGAATGGCCGGGCCACGGCCGACGCACGCTTGTGGCCACAAAGCCTCCCCTGGAGACTGAGCTTGTTTCCTTTTCTCCGTTTCACGCCAAACCCAGACACTCCCTGCTCCCTTCTGTGCGTCTGCACTGGGCCACGGGCTGTCTTCGGCACACGCCTCCGTGTCACCCTCTTTACTGGCCCAGTGGAGTCTCAGGCATCTGGGTCACAGGTAGGCGGCCTGCTGGGGTCTGTACCCCTTTTTCATAGAGGATAAGGACCCCCCTGAACACTTACTTTTATAGGGCAACTGCCACACACAGGTCAGGGAGACGCATGCACCCCCTAGGCCCCTATTTTTACCCAAACTGGAGGGCCGAGAGTGCTTTGCAGAGCTGAGGGGAGCGCCAGTCCCCCTCCCCCTGCAACAGCCTACATCAGTCCCACAAGGCTCCTGTCAGACACCCGCCACCCCTGACTGGGCGTCCTGGCGCACATGGTCTCCGCTGCTCCCTCTGAACCTGCTGACTACGGCGCCGAGTCCTAACGGGGGATCCTCATCCCACATTGTCCTTAAATGTGTTTCCTGTAACCTGACAAAATCAGAAGGCTGCTGCTCCTCGTCAGAGCTCTCGACACCCCTTGGCCAAGCCGCCTCGGGGGTTTGAGCCGCTTCTTCTGGAATGGCACCCGGGCCCCTGCAGCCCGTCTCTTTTTCAGACCTGAGAGACGAAGCTTAAGCCGCTTCCGCATGAGTTCGATCCCTGCCTGCCCCGGAGGTGACCCCATGGCGCGGCAGACCTCTCCTGACCCGCCCGCTGCTCCCCTCAGCAGTGTGCTTCGTCGATCTGCCTGTTCTGCTCCCCGCTCTGTCTCTGGTGAAGCCTCTCACCCTCTGCATCTCTGGCCTGTACCCCAGTTCTGTATGAATAAATAAATCTTTAAAAAATTATTTATGCATATAGAACTGGGGTACAGGCCAGAGGTGCAGGAGGATTCACTAGAGACAAAGTGGGGAGCAGAACAGGCCGACTGACGAAATACACTGCTGAGGGGAGCAGTGGGAGAAGTCTGGAGCAGGTCAGGAGAGGTCTGCGCGCCCTGTGGATTGACTCGGCACTGAAGTGGCCGTAGCCTCATAGGGCTGTGCTCTAACCCGCTGCGCCCAGGGAGGGCCCTGAGACACCCCTTTCTTCACAGTGCAGACTTGAGCCGACTGTGTGATGAGAAGGGTCTGGAAGCGCCTTCACCATACTGAGACACCCTCCCCATGCCTGCACCCCAGAACATCTGCACCAAACTTCTTTTTGAACAAAGGCTGAACAGAAGTTCTGATGTGCTGACAAGGACTTGGGGCCTGGCCACAGGGCCCCAGGCAGCAGGCCCTCTGCTCCGCAGCTCAAGCCAGTGAGTCTGGGAGTCACACCTGACCATGCAGGTGACCACACGCCGGCAGATGCAATTCTTAAACACAAGAAAATGGGCCTGAAACCATCATGGGGGCGGGGCGGCCAAGCAGCGAGCACGCGGGAACAGCTGTCACGGAGCGGCGCAGCCTCGCCTGACCAGCCGGACGGCCTGGGGGCGTGCGCGCAGTGGGAGAAGGGCCTCTGGGTGGGACACCTCGTTAATTTCCAATTTGGAAGCTGTGTTGGCACCAACACGCTGTCTATAACCAGGGCCAGTGGCAGAAGACAAAAGAACAGTCTTTTGTGGAAAAAGTAAGAAAGCCACGAGGAGCTTCCTTCCGCCGTGCCCTGCCCCATCCCAGACCCAGGTCCCCTCTCCCGGCAGGTGGCTGCTCTAAGGACCCCGGTTAGGCGCTGGGCTGCGCCATGCCAGGACCGCAGGGAGCCCTGACTGGGAGTCCTGGCCGGAAAGGAGCAAACAGTGCGGTCTCCAGACCCACCTCTGGGGCCAGCCAGGGCAGGAGACGGCGCACACCTCAGGGCTCCGGCCCTGTCAGGCCACAAGGCGCTCCTGCTCTGCTTCCTCCTAAAACCGCTGACCATTTTGGGGGGAAGGAGGGTGTTCTCCACCCAGTCACCTTACAGTCCAGCAAACAGGCCAGGATGAGTAAAAAGCCACCACGCCTCTACCGGCAGCCACAATCACATCCACGTCTAAAGACCTGAGGCTCGCCCTCTCCTGCTGTTTTTATTGTATTTTAGCTGAAGGGCAGGGAAGCACGTGGATTTCTAAATTCATCTTCCAAAAAATGTCTGTGCTTCAGTAAGTCCTCTCTGGTTCAAAAGACGGCTAGAAGGCTGGTTTGTAACTTGAGAGGAAGAGGTGCAAACTCCCGCGACGGCAGTTCGGGTTGCTGTGTGTAAATTATTTGGTCCGAGAAACCTCAGGGAGGAATACATGTTCCTGATGAGAAAAAAAAAAAACAGGATGTTTGGGGGTGCTGAGGTGACCACCCCTGGGGCGCAGCACAGCTGGTGAGAGAAGTCAAAGGGGCCACGAAGGAGGTGACTGGAAAGGAGCTGGGAGGAAAGAGCAGGCTCCGGAGCCAGCGGCCGTGTGGACCAAGCAAGGCAGGGGCCGTCTTACAGGACAACCGCGAAGATCAAAGTCGGGCTGAGAGCAGCGGCCAGCGGCGGCTTCGCGTGGGCCTAGCCGTGGCCTCTGCTCCTGTGCGGCCAGGCTCTGGGCTCCCTGGGCCGCAGAGACCGGGGTGTTGAGGGGGCCACGATGGCAGAGCCACAGGTTTGCCAGCGTGTTTTATTTTGTTAGGAGATTTGTTTATGCGCTGGAACTTCCTGAAAGAAGTCTGTAGTAAAAGGTTCGCGCAGGCTGCATTCCCGTCTCATGTCGCCTCCCGCAGCCAGGCTGGTCTGTGGTCGACATGGAGGCAGCTGCCTCCATGTCTACGCCTTCGAGGAGGGGAACGAGGAATCGTCCCCTCGGGTTTGCCTCGCTCACCGCGGAAATGTCAGGAACGCGAGGGGCACCAAGGCCCAGCTGCGGCAAACAGGGTCCCACCCACGAGAGGCCCTGAAAAGTGTCTCTTCACCTCAGACAGGAGTGGGCGGGGCAGGAGGACACCTTACAGGCGGAGGGGACGGGCCTCCAAGGAGGAAGGCAGCGACAGCCCAGGAGAGCCACGGAGGAAGGCAGCGGAGGGCTGGGTCAGGCCCAGGAACGCGAGCTGCTTCTCCAGGCCGGCGAGGCGGCGAGGCGGCTGCCTTTCAGCGAGGGCAGCGCAGGCCTCTCCCAGAAGCTGCCCGGAGGTCCACCCCGCACGGCAACCCAGCAGAGCCCAGGACGTTGTCTCCTGGTCTCGAGGGCCCAGTCCGTCGTAAATCAGGCCCGCTCTTAATAACACGAAAATGCAGGAGGAAAGCTGCTTTTAAATAACTCTCAGCTCTTTGCCTGACAGTTTTATAACCAAGAAACGTCTCTTATTGTTGTTTTATGCATTTCGCGAACACATTTTACTTTGGATGCTTCTATTAATCCCAAGGCTTCGCAGCAAAATCCACGCTCACGATTTAGTCAGCTGCTACCTCGGGTGACCTCAGGCAGGTCTCTTGTCTGGTGCCGTCCCGGGCGGACTGGGCCAGCAGGGGCCGTGGACACAGCAGGTGAAATAACAGCCTGCCAGCGCCGAGGACTCGGAGCGCTCTTCTGGAAACTGCCGTTATTCTCAGAATCAGCGTTTGAAGCTGCCGTCTCCCGCTGCACGCTGCTTGGGCAAGATCACCACAGAACTCCGAGGAAGGCACACAGAGCCTGTCACTCCATTTCTTTGCCATCACCTGAAGCTCCAAGTTACGTGTAACCGACGCCCCTGCAGACGCCCCAGGACCAGCACACGCATCTTTCAGGTCCGAATCTCCATGGGCGCAGCTGGTGAGGCTCTGGCTGGGGGCTGGGGGCATGGAAACAGTGCGGTGGGGAGCTATGAGGCTGGTCGGAGGACACTGCAGGGCAGCGTGAGCGTGTGAGGCGCCTGCGTGCCTGCCTGGCTACGGCGAGAAGCCCGAGGCTGCTGTGGGTGAAAGCGCCCGACGTCGGGATACCCCTCAGCTGAGGGGGCTGAACAGACCAGGCACGGGATGGCACACGTGCGCTTCACCGGGATCACTTTTGAGCATTTTGGGGTACAGGGTCCTGCAGCATTGTGTTGGCAGGGGACCAGGCCCCGCTTACATAAGGCTGAGGTGAGCGGGACAGGAGGCCTGTGCCAGTGGCCAGAAGGCAGACGGGCAGAGGCCGGCGGAGCGCTGGCCCG